TCTTTCCTTTTCCTTGATTTTCTAGATTCATTTTCCCCACCCTTACTCACGTTAGCAATAGGCTCTGCATTGCTTTTAGAATTGAGAAAATAGCAATCTGAATCTGAGCATTGTCTTCTAAAATAAACAAAGGGGTGGCTAGCCAACACTCTGCTGTGCTGTTAGTTTGATTCTTTGCTACAAGTCTGACCTTTGTTTGAGCATCCATGGGCAAAATCTATCATTTGGTGCCCTCCACTATTGTCCTATGTTTCCCTCTCTGTGATGTTGCTTTGTTCAGCCTTGTTTTCTATCTGAGCTTCAAATAAAACTTAGGTTAATTTGACAATGTAATAATTTTGTATAATTCACCTAGTAGAAATTAAGGTGATTGAAAAGATGCTTAGGAACAGGGGACCTTTTTACAAAGATGATTTTTTGGGACTTGAAAATCAATGACACTTAAGCCAAATACAACTGTGCATGGACCTAAATACATGAGGTAGGGTGCTAGGGGGTGTTGACCACCCAATTATTTTCAAAACTGTACTTAAAACAATTCAAAAACAATCTTTCTTTCAATTGTTCTTTTGCATGTCTAGCCCCCTCAAACTTTGAAAGTTGTTATTTTTACAAAGAAGCCTGCTTAATTCACAAAGTTGTGAATTTGCAGTTTTGTATGACTTGTCTAGAGTGTAAGAAACATTATTTATTTAGAGAATCTGGTTTTCCGCCCATTATTGTTGCTGTATGTTTATTTTTATAATTGGATTAGGCATTGCCATAGTTTTTAAAATAGGTTGCTGAGCATATTTTTTGCATTAACATATCTTTAAGAAATCTATTTTGAGGATTACTTTGCCATTGGTTTTCTTGCCACAATCTGAATTAATAAAATTTCTTGAAGAAAAGCCTTGCAACATTCATTGCAACAGTAAATCCCTGCTATAAACTTGTGACAATTAAATTTTCTTTTGAGAATACTGCCATGTTTCTCAGAGATTTCTGTTTTAATATTTTTAGCATAAATTAAGTGCCTTAAGCATCTTTGTCTGTCTAGAAGAACATAGAAATAAAACAGTTACAAGATATTCTTATTTTTCTTTGCATCTGGGTATGCCATCTCTGAATTTTTATCCAAATCTGCCCTAAAGTTTTGTATAGTGCTTTCTATTTAAGAATTTTAAGAAAAAAAGAAATTTCTTTTTCTAAGATCTTCAAACCCGAACTTTTAAGTAAGTTTTCTTGTACTTTTTAACCTTGTTTGAAAGTTTTGATCAGTCAATGCTTGCAAGTTCAAAGATTTTAGAGAGATGCATACTGGCTTAGCACTTATGAAGTTACTCTTTTGACCGAAAAAGGTTCCTGAAAAGTTGAAGTTTCGGATTAAGATAACTAATCCTTGTTTGTGAGAATTATATGTTTTATTGATCATATGTCAGAAAGTGGTTTTATTTTTTAATGAAATTGCATCCTGTTGCCAGGCAAAGGACAAAAGGGTGGTTGCTTCGCGAGTAGAAAATGCAGTGAATAAGCTGCAAGAAGATAACGAAATTATGAGAGAGGCAATTTTGTCAATGCGTACACAAAGTGCTAGTACTGTGGATAGATCGCAAAGCTCCATGACGTTGAGAAGCGATACAAGTATATCACAGCAAAATGCCAAGTCCTTGTCTTTCATCAGCAATAATGGAGCAACATCAGAACAGGAGATTACACTAGCTATCGAAGATTTCGCCGTTTCGAAGATGTTGACAAACGTCGCAACTCAGACGTTCGATACGGCGTTTGTCTCATGCGAAGCGTGCGCACGAATGCAACAAAATCTTATTGACGTGGGTACTGCCATGATATCGCTTTGCGAATCGCAAGGACTGCCGTCTTCGCTGGCGAAGCAAAAGAAAATGTTGAAGAAATCACTGATGGCGGCAACTGACGTATCTAGGTGGACCATTGAGCAAAACCGTGACATCGAGAGAATAAACAAACATTTAGAATATTTATATAGTAGAATCGAGCCATTGAGAACTGACCTTGAAAAGTCAAGACAAACCTGCAAGAAACTCAAAGAGCAAGTTAAAGAATTAAGTGATGGAAAAATCGGTATTGAAAAAGATTTGGTCGAAAAGGAAGTGAATTTCAATAAGAAGATAAGCGTGCTGGCAAATCAACACGAGAAAAGCGAAAGCAAACTGAAGAAAGAACTAGAACAGCTGAAGACCGATAAAGAACAAGTAGATTGCCTTTACGACAAACTCGAGAGTGAAAACAAGAGCAGAAAGAAGCAGAATATGCAATTAGGTATAACTCTTGCATTCAATATTAAACTTTATATTAAAATTCAGTTTTTATTGTGTTTTCATTTACTAAGGGAGCATTGCTGTAGAGTAGTCTCTTTAAGATATCTAAAATTCATATTATTTTTCAATATTTTCATAGAAGACGCCTGCTTGCTTCAGCTGGTGGGCATTACATTCCCCTGCACCTTGGCATTCCATTCCCCTGACTAAAGTTTGGTATGTCAAGGGCAGACCTCATTAATCTATGCGAGCGCGGGAGCGGCGCTCCCAGGCACAAAAGTTCATGCTCCGAATTTCTGCAGGAACTTTTCTGAATCGAATTTTATTCACCTTTGTTAATTTACAATCATGCTTTTTCTTACTATCTTTCTTGGTATCAATTGAAAGGTCAAATAGAATTTCAAAGAATAAAGTTGTAAGTCTCTTTTACCCAAAATCATTACTCTAATTGCACGAGTTTAATTGTCTGCATTTGCACGAGACGAGTTTGCATATCACATTGTCTATCTGTCCCTTTCTTTCTATTTCCTCTTCCTGAAAAAGACCACTCACAATTATTCGATCTTTCTATTTCCGAACATAACATATGCCTTTGAGGGGCACATCACTTCACGAAAATCTCGTAAAGCTTTGGCAAATCTTCGAAAAATTCTGCGAAAAATTCCTAGAAACCTCTTTGAAAAAGTGACACACCCCTCGCGCTCCTTTAAGCTAAAGGTGTCGAGTATAGCGTCTAGCAACTAACGCGTTTGTGGGAGTAAGGGAAAGAAAGTAAAATGCAGAGTTGGCATGTAGAGCAAAATTACAAGCTACACCTCTAAAGAATTCACCCTGAAGAAAATTCATACGATTTGCATCAACACAAATTTTCAAAGGAACCTGATTGGAATAGAATCTTTTACAGATAACATTTTTAACTTTGAAATGAGAAAAAGCCCGTGTAATGTCGAGATTTTACAACTCTTGTTAACGAGATGAAAATAAAAAGCTAAAGCT